CCATGGCTGCAGCCATGCGGGGAGCCTGCCACTCGCCCCTTGCGCCTTCCGAGGCTGGAGGGTGCAAGAGGCGAGTGGCAAAGGCACCCTCCATGGCTGCAGCCATGCGGGGAGCCTGCCACTCGCCCCTTGCACCTGCCGAGGCTGGAGGATGCAAGAGGCGAGTGGCAAATGCTCCCTCCATGGCTGTAGCTCCCTCCATGGCTTGTACCTTCTGAGGCGATTGGGGGGGGGGGCAAGAGGAGAGCATTGGGTGGCCTGCTCAATCCTCGCCCCTTCTCTGCTAGGCAAGAGGCAAGGGCCCCGCGCATGCCTTTGCCTACAAGCTCCTCCTCCTGACTCCCTGCAGTCCTGCGAGAAGAGGAGAGCCAACCAGGAGCGCCTGGCTGTTTGGCTCGCACAGGATTCTGCAGCCATTTTGGTGGGGGGCGGAGCTAACTTAGGTGTCTTCGCGACCCCCGGAAAATGGCCCAGTGACCCCCTGGGGGGTCGCGACCCCCAGGTTGAGAACCGTTGATCTAAATGCTCTGTGCATAATGAGTGACATCATAGCTCAAAAACCGCTGGACCAATTGCCACCAAATTTGGCCACAAGACACCTACTACCCCAAGGACTGACCATCACTCAAAAAATTGGTTTTGTCATTTGGGAGTTGTAGTTGCTGGGATTTATAGTTAACCTACAATCAAAGAGCATTCTGAACTCCACTGACGATGGAATTGAACCAAACTGGGCACACAGAACTCCCATGATCAACAGAAACCACTAGAATTGTTTGGTGGACATTGACCTTGAGTTTTGGAGTTGTAGTTCACCTTCATCCAGAGAGCACTGTGGACTCAAACAATGAAGGATCTAGACCAAACTTGGCACAAATACTCCATATGCCGAAATATGAACACAGCTGGAGTATGGGGGAACTAGACCTTGACATTTGGGAGTTGTAGTTACTGGGAGTTGTAGTTTACCCACAATCAAAGAGCATTCTGAACCCCACCAACGAGAGAATTGGGCCAAACTTTCCATACAGAACCGCCATGACCAACAGAAAATACTGTGTTTTCTGGTGGACTTTGGTGACCCTTCTGACACCCTCTCGTGACCCCCCCAGGGGTCCCGACCCCCAGGGTGAGAAATGCTGCCTTAAGGCCATCCAATACAACTCCCTTCACCGGAGCAAGAAAACATAATCAAAGCCCTCCTAAGAAAGAGGCATCCAGCCATAGATATAGATAAATAGATATGATTCACACACGCACACATATATTCCAGAAATAGTATCATAGGTTTCAAAGGGACCTCTAAAAATGGACAATGATATGTTGCATGTTCCAGAGTAGGCAAACCAGACAATCTCTACATCAACACTGACGAGAAATACTGTTTACCCACAAGCATAAAGAAATTACATATATTAGAAACCAACACTATTTTCCAGATCACCAGACTGGGCCACAGCAACGCGTAGCAGGGGTCAGCTAGTAAAGCTTATAATTTATTTATTTATTTATTTATTTACTGCGCTTATATACCGCAATTCTCAGCCCAAGGGCGACTCATTGCAGTATACAACATGGAAAAACAAGAGCAAATTACAAAACATAGTGTAAAATAATCCACAATTCATCATTATCAGAAAAACATCTTATCAAAACATCAACATTACTACAAAAGCCATTCCGAATCGTCTCATCGTCAACTATAAAGCTATTGTCTTCCAAACCCTGCTATACGCCTGTGAAACATGGCCTGTCTACAGACGTCAGATGCAACTCCTGGAACGATTCCATCAGTGTTGCCTCTGAAAAATCCTGTAAATCTCTTGGAGAGGTTGGCAGACAAATGTCAGCAGGCTGGAAGAAGCAAAGACCACCAGAACTGAAGTGATGCTCCTACATCATCAGCTCCGCTGGACTGGGCACGTTGTCTGAATTCCCAATCACCGTTTCCAAAAGCAGTTACTATACTCCCAACTCAAAACGGAAAACGCAATGTTGGTAGACAAGAAAAGAGATTTAAAGATTGTATTGTGTATTGTTGTATTGTGTTGGGCTCCGGCCTGTTGTAAGCCGCATCGAATCCCTTGGGAGATGCTAGCGGGGTACAAATAAAGTAATAATAATAATAATAATAATAATAATAATAATAATAAAGACGGATTTAAAGCCAACCTTAAAAACTGTGGCATAGACATCAAGAACTGGGAAGCCCTGGCCCTTGAGCTATTGTCTTCCCAATCCTGCTATACGCCTGTGAAACATGGACTGTCTACAGACGTCAGACACAACTCCTGGAATGATTCCATCAGTGTTGCCTCCGAAAAATCCTGTAAATCTCTCGGGAAGACAGGCAGACAAATGTCAGCATGCTGGAAGAAGCAAAGACCACCAGTAATGAAGAGATGCTCCTACTCCATCAACTCCACTGGACTGGCCACATTGTCCAAATGCCCAATCACCATCACCCAAAGCAGTTACAGTACTCCCAACTCAAAAATGGAAAATGAAATGTCGGGGACAGGAAAAGAGATTTAAAGATGGACTTAAAGCCAACATTAAAAACTGTGGCATATACACCTAGCCCTTGAGCCCTCAGCTGTGGAACTCCCTCCCTAGAGATATTAGATCACCCCCCCCCCTGACTTTCAAAAAAAAGAGTAAAAACTTGGCTCTTCGAACAAGCTTTTGAAAATGCAGCATAATGGATGAACATGAAACTATGAAGAATGAACTTGGAATGACCCAATGATGTTACTAGACGATGAGTTTAACAGGACGACTCTGGTGATTTTATGTTTTTAATGGATTTAATATGGTTTTTATAGTGCTGTGTTGAATGTTTTTAATTGCATCTTTTATAAATGTTTGACATTGGATTGTTGGCAATCTGTAACCCGCCTTGAGTCGCATTAGGGCTGAGAAAGGCGGGCTAGAAATGCCGTAAACAAATAAATAAACAAATAAGTGCTGTAACTCGAGGTCAGCTATGACCAGCAGTGCTGCAGAATTCAAAGAGGCACAAATGAAAGGTGAAAAGGAGAAATGTGCTAAGAGGAAGACAGGCCAAGCCAACTCTGACCAGAACCGCCTTCTACCAGGAAACCGATCCCCTCACTGTGGAAGAACATGCGGGTCAAGAATTAGGCTACCTACCTATCCACCACCAAGACACTGCAATTGGAAGGCCATCATACTCGGACAATGAGGGATCACCTAAGAAAGAAGAAAGAAGAAAAGACACCAGGAAATAAATCAGTATTCTGCATTAAAAGCTGCCCTAAATTCACCCCGTTGGTACTTATAATGTACTAGCGGTCCCCTGCCACACGTTGCTGTGGCCCAGTCTGTTGATCTGGAAAATAAAGTAATGAGAAAGTGTTGGTTTCTAATTTATGTAATTTCTTTGTGCTTGTGGGTAAACAGTATTTCTTGCTGTTTCTTTGTCAGTGTTGGTGTGGAGAGTGTCTGGTTTGCCTGCTCTGGAACATGCAACATATAATTGTCCTTCTTTAAGGGTCCCATTCAAATCTATGATACTGTATCTCTGTGTGTGAGAATAATATATATCTATCTATATCTATGGCTGGATGGTCCTTTGTCAGGACGGCTTTGATTACGTTTTCTTGCCCTGATGAAGGGAGTTGGATTGGATGGCCTTAAGTATTTTCTGTTGGTCATAGGGGTACTGTATGGGAAGTTTGCCCTGATTCTGTCATTCGTGGGGTTCAGAATGCTCTTTGATTGTAGGTGAACTGTGAATCCTAGTGACTACAACTCCCAAACGTCAAGGTCTATTTTCCCCAAACTCCATCTGTGTTCATATTTGGGTGTATTGAGTGCTTGTGCCAAGTTTGGCCCAGATACTCTCTGGATGTAGGTGAACTACAACTCCCAAACTCAAGGTCAATGCCCACCAAACCCTTCTAGTGTTGTCTGTTGGTCATGGGAGTTCTGTGTGCCAGGTTTGTTTCAATTCAATCCTTGATCGAGTTCAGAATGCTCTTTGATTGTAGGTGAACTATAAATCCCAGCAACTACAACACCCAAATGACAAAACAATATTTTTTGAGTGATGGTCACTCCTGGTGTTGTGAGGCATTTTGTTGCCAAATTTGGTGTGATTTCGTTCATTGGTTCTTTTGTTTTTAAGGTACTCATTATGCACAGAGCATTTATATATATATAGATTGTACTCAAATTGTATTGATAGTCATGTCTGAATTCAAATCAACCCAACTTTTTCCCTTCTCCTTGAATTTGTTGCTCCGTTCCCAGCCAAAACTAGCCAAAAGGTCAATAATGAGAAGGTTGATTGGGGCAATACCTCACCATTGAGATCACATGGTTGGATGTCTTGTTCTGATCAAAGCATTTGGATGCTGGATTTCAGAGCAAGCAATTGGTAGGACTGTGCCAAAAGTGCCTGAACAGGGAGGGAGGCTGGGAAGGCAGCAGTGGTGGCCCCAGGGAAAATAAAATCTTGAGTACTATAGAGACAAAACATCAACACTAAGGAGCCTGATCAGTCCACTCAGTACTGATCTCAGGCTTAGCTCAGCTGGGAAACAGGTAGCACCCCAAAGGAAGAGAGGAAAATGTTTTGTTTGGTTCAGAGCCTCAGTCATTGTCTTCCCAACTAACTACATTTTTTTCCATTCATAGTACTTCTGGTTCCTTCCAACTCTATGATTCAGCATCACAAATATGGTTACATACGCAGAGATTCAGCCCCTGATGTTAAGAGTTAAACACTCACAGATTAATGAGCCTGTCAATTTTGCTTTCTTCCATATTTGTCTCACTAAAATATAGTACTTTTTGTGTGAAAACAGAAACCAGACAAAATGATCATCGATTGCTAGGGTGGTGTAATGGACGAACTATGATTAGTAACGATGCCTTTTATTTCTGAATCTGGACTCACTTCCGCTGGGGAAGTACGACACTGGCCACCATCTGATCTTACCCCATGACATCTCCCTTCCTCTTTTTGAGGTTTCCTGCCCAGAGCTATTTCTATTTCTTCAGTCTTGTTCTTCAGCAGGATACTATTCCTGTCTCACGGGTCCAGGATTCCCAGACTTTTGGAAGCACAACATCAGGTCTTCCTTAGCCAGAGACATTTTGAGTATTGGCTCTAAACCTGGTTTGGGAGCCTTTGTGATGGACCAACTAAGAAACCCAATCCTCTATATTCTCCTGGACTTGGTTTGGGCACAGCTGGGTGAGTTGAATCAAACACTTCTTCCTCAATCTTTGGGCTCCTTTTTCAATTTTGGATTTTTCCCTAAGCCCCCATCACTCCCCTATATCTAAGATTGGCCATTGAACAGCTATTTCTTTGTGTTTTGTCTTGTATAGTTATATTTACCTATTTGGGTTTTTAAGCATTGGAATTGAATGTTTCGAAATTAAAAATTAGGGAACAATAGGTAGCGTGGGAAGGTAGGAGTTAACAAAAGTGTGAGGAAGTATGATCATGGGACCATGAATTAGAAAATTAAACATCAGTCATTGAAATATAAATCATAGGCCATAATAGAAAACCACGTATTAAGCAAGCTGGGCAAAAACAGTTTAGGTTGAACCTTCTGATATTTCAGATTGTTGCTGTGAAGAGTAGAAAGTAGTAGTTTATTTATTTTATTTCCTATACTTATACCCCGCCCTTCTCACCCGGGGGGGGGGACTCAGGGCGGCCTCACAACAAGCATCATAAGATGCATTACTATCATAAAACAATCAAAAAACACATTCAGACAATACATTAAAAGCAAAACAATTAATGGAAAACAATTGATTAAACACGCCAGTTAGAAACCAAATCCAGTTCTGGCCAATTCATTGTCATGGGTTGCCTAGGTTGACTTTCCATTTACTGCTAATCACTAGTCGAATGCCTGGTCCCATAGCCAAGTCCTAAGTTTCTTTCTGAAAGACAGGAGGGAGGTGGCCAGTCTGATGTCTCTAGGGAGAGAGTTCCACAGATGGGGGGCCACTGCTGAGAACGCCCTTTCCCTCATCCCCACCAATTGCGTTTGCGATGGTGGTGGGACCAAGAGGGCCTCTCCAGATGATCTTAAACTTTGTGATGGTTCGTAACAGGAGATATGTTGAGACAGGTAGGTTGGGCAGAACCGTAATGGGCTTTAAAGGTTAAAACCAGCACTTTGAATTGTGCTCGGAAGCTAATCGGCAGCCAGTGGAGCTGGCGTTACAGAGGGGTTGTATGTTCCCTGTACACTGCTCCGGTGAGCAACCTAGCTGCCGACAGTTGGACTAATTGAAGCTTCTGGGCAGTCTTCAGAGGTAGTCCCACGTAGACATGATGATATGTTACGTTACCAGACTATTTTGGTAATATCACCATGTTACCATTATCAGAATATTTTAGTAGCATATAACCATTACCAACAACAACAACATTGTTGTAATGGTTAATTTGCTTTTTCATAGCATTACTGACTCTGCTTCTAATTTTTTCCTTCATTCAGAATATTTTTCCATTACCATAGTTTTCCGTTACCATGGCTTTACCTCATTTTGGCCTTATGGTCAACCTCTACTCCTTTGGCCTTATTTTGGACTTTTGGTCAACCTGTAATCTTTCTTTTTAGATCCAGTGTTTGCTCCCAGTAGGCTTCTGGTAGCCAATGGTGGAAAGGAAAAACCATTCTCTGAAAACCTGTAGACTCCTTGGTACCCATCGTAGCAAGCAATAATTGTATCTGCTCTACGTAGTTGGACCAGTATGATTCTACTCTCAATCTCTCCTGCAAAATCTTAGGTTTTGTAATTTTGTGAGGTATTTAGGATTTCTCCTCCAGTGCTCTAGTCCGTTAACTCAAACCACAGAACTAGACATCTCTGACAGAGAATTACACCTTTGTGGACCAAATGATCAACCGCCATCTAAACCATGATGAGACATCATGGAGGGGTCTCCTTTCACAGTCACTGTCTCTCCACTCCTTAGTAGCATGAATCGGGTTCAACTGGGGATCTAAAAAAGTCTAATTTGAGTGAAATGGACATGTTATGAAACTGCAGGGTTCTAGATGCATTTTTCTACAAGATCTAATATCCTGTTCCTTCTTCCCTGCTCCATATCTCCAAACATTGAGAGTCCCGCTAGAACAGTGGTTCTCAACCTATGGGTCCCCAGGGTTTTGGCCTAGAACTCCCAGAAATCCCAGCCGGTTTACCAGATGTTAGGAGTTGAAGGCCAAAATATCTGGGAACCCACAGGTTGAGAACCACTGTGCTAGACTCAGTCCACTAAATGATGGTTGGGAATTGTACAGCCTTCCAACAGATGTTACTAGACTATAACACAGCATTTATCAGTGTTGGCTATACTTCCTAAGGATGCTGGGAGAGTCAGCTTAACCACGCTTGAAGGCCAACATAACTCTCACTTTTGGACTAGATGAAAGGATGTCACAAGCAGGAATGGATCAAAATCAAGCCATCTCAGATGTAGATGGCCTCCTTTGCCAGCTTTCCCTCTCCCTCCTTCCATTGTCTTTCATAGATTGGCTTTGGGACAGTGGTTGGAATCATGAAGGCATCAGAGATTGTGGGTCTACAGCTTCCACTAGCCATAATTAACTTAGCCAGTGGGAGTTGTAGTTTGACAAAATCTGGAAATATGATGACACCCCCTCTGTGCCAACAAAGTGGTGAATCCAGTCCTTGTTTTATTCAAAACATTATCAGAAGTGATTAACCTAAAGTAGAAACAGAGTTCAGCACTTCACATTACTACTGTGGTCGTTTGGTTTAACCTAGCATAGATTCATCATCCCAATAATATGGTTGATATAATTCACCATGTTTTGGAGAGCTACACAATTCACACCTCAGCATTAAAAACTGAGATAGGTGGGAAGGATAACTGATCATCTATTTCCCAATTGAGATAGCAGGAAGGGGAATCCCTGCTTTTGTAGAAAGACACGAGACAACCAAGGAAAAGCACCCTGGTATCAGAGAAGAGGTGTTGTGAAAAATCATCTTGGCTTTTCAACTATGAGTTGTAATCTTATGGTGTGTCAAAGTCTTTTCATTATCAACTAGGCTCAAAATCCAGGGTTTCCTTGAGCTACTGAGCAAAGAATGGGAAAATTATCTGCAAGGTCAGCCCAACACCAAGCTATAATCCTCAGCACCCACTCCCTCTTTTCTGATCTAGCCACCAGGATCTAGGCCTTGTAACCCCTATCACAAAAAACTATCCTGGCTTTTGAAGTGTGGATTGTAATTGTGTAAAGTGGCTTTTCCATAATCAAATAAGCTCTAAATGCACGATTTACTTGAGATTACTTAAGAATGGGATGCCTTGGTTAGACCACACCTGGAATACTGTGTTCAATTCTGGGCATCATAATTGAAGAGAGATGTTGACATGCTGGAATGTGTCCAGAGGAGGGCGACTAAAATAATCAAGTGTCTGGAGAACAAGCCCTTTGAGGAGCAGTTTAAAAAGCTGGGCATGTTTAACCTGCAGAAGAGAAGACTGAAAGGAGACATGATAGCCATGTATAAATATGTGAGGGGAAGTCATAGGGAGGAGGGAGCAAACTTGTTTTCTGCTGCCTGGGAGCCTGGATGCGGAGCAATGGCTTCAAACTGCAAGAAAGGAGATTCCACCTGAACATTAGGAAGAACTTCCTAACTATGAGAGTTGTTCAGCAGTGGAACTCTCTATCCCGAAGTGTGGTGGAGGCTCCTTCTATTGAGGCTTTTAAACAGAGGCTGGATGGACATCTGTTGGGGGTGCTTTGAATGTGATTGTCCTGGTTCTTGGCAGGACGTTGGACTGGATGGCCCACGAGGTATCTTCCGACTCTATGATTCTATGATTCTGTTTTTATGTTTGGGTTCAACAAACATCAAATCATAATCTTGAGTGGTATGCTAGGGTTCCTAAACTTATTGTCAGCCAGTGGAGTGACTTTAGGACAGATGTGATATGTTCACTCCTGGATGTTCCCGTAACCAATCTAGCAGCTGTATTTTGAACCAACTGGAGTTTGGTTCAATGGTAGCCCAATGTAAAGCGCATTGCAGAAGTTCAACCTTGAGTTTACCAATGCGTGTCCCACCATCTTTGAATCTTCCAAATCTAGGAAGGGGTGCAGCTGGTGGATCAGCTGAAGCTGATAGTAAGCACTCCTGACCATTGCATCTACCTGGGCTGACATTTGGAGGGACAGATCCAGGAATTCCCAAGCTGCGAACACAGTCTTTCGGGGGACTGTAACCCCATCCAGAACTGGTTGACACACCTCCATCCTCAGGTTAGGACCCTTGATGACAAGCATGTCTGTTTTGTCTGAATTCAGTTTCAGTTTGTTTTTCCACATCCAGCCCTCATCCAGGAATTCATTCAGATGAGACACACTATCCTTAGCTGAAGCTGTTTTTGAAAGCATGGAGAAATTTATGAGCCAGCCCTGAGATCTTAAGAGCCCCTTTCTCTCAGTCCCACCACAATCACAAGCACAATTGGGGGAAAACAAGAGACACCTTGGGGTTTGCGCCTGAAATTCCTTTTCCAAAGGAACCTGGATGCCCCCAACCTCCTCCTTATACTTCCAATTTCAGGCCAAAACCTATTTATTCAGATAGGCTTTTAAAACAGAAATGGACTGGGAATACTAAATACCTTTTAAATTATTATTTTAATTACATGGGGAAATGACCAGGGTGGTAGACTTCTTGGTACTGGACAATTACAGACCAGTCTCTAACTTCCCATTTTAGGCAAGATTCTGGAGTGAGTGGTGGCTTCACACCTCCAAGAGTTCCTAGATGAAACAGATTACCTAGATCCATTTCTTTCAGGCTTGGTTGTGGAACAGAGACAGCTTTGGTCACTATGGTGGATGGCCAATGCAGAGAACTAAACAGGGGAGTGTATCCCGGTTGGTTCTTCTGGACCTTTCAGCGGCTTTTGATCCCATCGACCATGGTATCCTTCTGAGTCACCTTTCTGGGATGGGGCTTGGTATTGTTCTTCAGTGGCTCCATTCCTTCCTGGAGGGAAGTTCTCAGAAGGTGGTGCTGGGGGACTTCTGTTCGACTCATTGGCCCCTGACTTATGGGGTTCCTCAGGGCTCTGTGCTGCCCCCCCCATGCTGTTCAACAAGTACATGAAACTGCTGGAATAGGTCATCCAGAGTTTTTGAGTGCAGTGCCATCAATACGCAGATGACACCC